TCAAAAGGGAGTGTCTTTCCCATCCTCTATCGCCCGTAGTCGCGCGGCATATGCCGCGTCAAAAATAGAGCGTTTTACACTACCCACTGGTGGGAGTTGACTCTCTACGTTCTTTCGTATGGTCTCAAAAATACGTGGGACGCCAACAAACATCATGGGCCTAAATTCCGCTAAATCCCCACGTGGTCGTGCGCTCATGTCACTAAGGGTGCGGGGGGAACCGTAACACAAGAGGGATCCACGATTGAGCATAATCATTTCGGTAATGAACTCCAAAATATGGGCCAGGGGCAAGTAGGCAAGATATGTCTCCCCTTCCTCCTTTGGGCCCAATAACTCCGTCAGACGATCTTCAAGAGCGGCTGCACCGGTTTTAAGTGAACCAAAGGTGTGAATAACGCCCTTTGGTTCTGCTACGGTGCCGCTCGTGTACATAATGAGAGCTGTGCGATTACAGTCACTCGGTATAGTGTATGAAAAGCAACTCTGGAGACCCTTTTGCAGCACATCAGTCCATGACAGAAGCATCATACCCTCAGCGTCAACGCCGGCAGGAAGCGCATCAAGATAAATCACCATGGTGTTATTCAGTTTTGCTTTGTGCAAAAGAGGCACCAACTTTTTAACGGCATTTCCATTACATATCAAAGCCGGACATTCAGCCTCCTTGAGGGCATGCAGTAAAGCGGCCTCACCAAGGTTTGCGTATACAGTCACACTGATCAGTCCCTGTGTCCATCCGGCAAGCACTGATGCAAGCCATTCCCAGCGTACATCTTCAGCAATAGCGACAGCCGCGCCTTCCGCAAGCCCCAACTCTCTAAGCCCCTTTCCAAAGGCAATAAGCCTGCTCCAGAATTCATTGTACGTCATGTAAGTGGGATCATTGAGGTATGTCACTTCCCAGTTTCTTGTGTGCCCCTTGGAGTCCGTTTTCTTCTCCGTTTCAACCTTCTGAACTGTGCGGTATGCAAGCGCGCGGCGATCACTCCTCTCTGCGCAAATTTCCTCCAACCGGTGCACTATGTTTTCACCCTCGTACCACTCCTTACAAATCCGTCTGTGCTCCTCGTCTGTAATGCCTGCGGCACGATACACTGCGGAGGAGACGTCGTCCTCCGGCGGTGCGCACGCCACAGCCACAGGTCCATAGCGACGCCGCTCCTCAATGTAGCGATCAGGCACCTCGCTTATGCGACTTCTTCGCACCATCAATGATGCCAAGCAAACCCCCATTTCGGCTCCTTCGCGCACACCCTACACAAACAAAAATAAATAAATTTAAAATAAATAAATAAATAATAAAAGACAAAAGATGAAGCAGGCATAAAACGTTCATAGATGACCCCCCACGCACACGCGCACGCGTTTGCCCTTCCCCCACTTCCCTCCCATCGGTTGGTTAACCCTCCACACGCACACGGCGGCGCCACACTTTTCCCTCTCTTTCCATATCTGTTTCTTTTTTTTTTCTCTCTCTCTCTCTTTGTGCAGACCGTCCAAGGAGGATTTCCGTAGCGCCCTCACATTACTGAACTGATTATGGATTATTTGCTTCTTTTTCTCTTTGTTGTCCTTGTTTTTGTTTTTTGTTTTGTTTTGTTTTGCTTCCTTCTAAATTAATGCGCCAACGCGCGGGGCACATGCCTCTCCCGCATGTAAATTCGCGTGAGATGTTTTCATGGGTTTTTAGTTGTTGGTGTTTTTCTTTCTTTTCGGTGGTCCCCCTCGCCGTTTGTCCCCCCCAAAAAAAAAATTTGTTTCCCCTCGTCTTCGTTAAAAAAAAAAAAAAAAAGAAAAAAAAAAAACAACATGTCTCGGTGCATGCCGGCCTGAGTGACTCGCTCCCTTAAGGACCCATTCTGCCTCGCTGCCTCCACACACACGCACCCCGATGCTCTGGCACACTTCTCGTCTGTTCCCCACCGCCCAACAATGTTGTATCCATCCCTCTCTCTCGGGTCCCACCTCCCCCCAGGCACTCGCTGCCGCTGCTGTTGATTTTGTTGTTGTTTTGACGCTCGGCGGGCGGGGATTTCTCGTCTCTTCTTTTTTTCTTTTTTTTTTTGCCGTCGTTTTATTTTTTCGGTTTTGTTTTATTTTTTTTTCAATTTTTTTTTTTTTTTTTTTTTTTTTTTTCCGCTGCGGGCAGACCACAACAAAAACACAAGTTTCGTTTTGGAAGGAAAAACAAAAAAAGGGAAAAAAAAAACAAAAAAAAAAAGGAGGGAAGAGGGGGACGTCACGGTGAACGGACAAAAATACACACGAAAAAAAAAAAAAAAAAAAAAAGGGTCGTGTGAGTCCAGCGCATGTATGCATTGGAATGCGTGCCTGTTATTCCTTCAATTTCCTTCTTTTTCTCCCCCCCCCCCCCCCTCCTCGTTTGTAATGCCTTTTCCCCCTCAGTATCGCTTACATACATGTGTGTGCATACATACACACATATGGGAAGAAGGGGGAATTCACAAATAACAACAACGAAGAAAAAAAAAAGATAATAAAAAATATTTTATTTCTTTTTTTTTGTTGTTGTTGTTGTGTTTGTTTGGTGTTTTCTTTGCTCCCGTGTGCGTGCATGTATTTTGCATGTAGCCGCAGAAGAGGTTTAATACCTCCGTCTAAAAGATCCCCCTCCTCTCCCCCCTCTTCCTGCCACCAACTGCAGCTGCCACATAAAATTTAAAGAAGAAAAAAAAAAAGGAAAAGGGACCCTCCCACCTGCCTTCTCTCGCATACTGAATGCAGCCACACACACACACACAGAGAGAGAGAGAGAGGGGAGGGAGGGAGGGAGGGAGGAGACGCAAAGTAGACACGCACGCAATGGAGAAAGATAAATAAAGAAGGGCAGAGGAGGAGAGGGGAGGGGAAATACCCGCATGCGCTCATGAATAGCACATGAAAAGAGAGAAGGAAAGACTTTCAAAGAAAAAAAAAACACCAAAAATATATAAAACAGCACAGACACACACAACATCCAAAAAAAAAAAAAAAAACAATCGAACAATCACTCGCGTTCATCACCGGCCTCAGGGTCTCTTCCTCAAAACCTCCCAGTCATCCCCGCCGTCACTCCGCAGCCACATCCACTTTTTTAGAGCTGGCAGGCTCCTGTGTACACTGCGATGCACACTCATTCTCCCTTTCACTCACTTCACACAAGGTCCCTGTTCCCGCGGATTTTTTTTTACTTTTTTTCTTCTTCTTCTTCTTCTTGACTTGACTCACATTTTCGGCATCCAAATGCGCGACGTTGTTTAGTGAATTCGCGCTCATATTATCCTCCTCCCCCTCTGCAGAAGCAGTGTTCAGTTTCACTCCATCGCGTTGTGGATTTTTCGTGCCCTTGCGCTCGGTAGCTCCTTTTTTCGTCGTCTTCTCGACCGTATCCTCTGTGGCTGCACTGTCCCTTCCCGGCTGCTTCTGCTTCTGCTGTTTCTGCTTCTTTTGCTCATTACGACTCGTGGTAGCTTGGTCATCCTTGTTCTTTGCTTCTTCTTCCTCCTCCTTCCCCTTGTTGAAGTTGGACCGGCAATTGCTGCAGTAGAACTCACCTGTGCGGCGACGGGTGCGCTCCCGGTAGCCCTTATTAAATTCCCCGCATTCGCGACAGAACTCCCAGCCCAGTTTGGCCCAACAACTGTAGCAGTAATAATTATTGTCCTCCCTGTCAAGGCGAAGATCCTCCGCTTGTTTCTTCTTCAGGCACTGAGTGCATGTATCTGGAACGGGTACCAATTTTTTGCCGCCATGTGTTTTTTCTTGGCGTGACGCCCGGTTGTTGCCTCGTTTGTCGTTTCCGTCCCTCTCATTGGCAGTATTTGGCTCTCGACGATCGCGATCACGCTTCGGAGGATGCCTTTGATCCTGCTGGTTGTGGTTTCTGCGAGGATTTGCAGTTGAGACGTTTTTGTGTTTCTCCTCGAGATCCTCCGTGCGCACAATATGCACCGATGAGACCATCGTCGTTAACAGCTGCAGTGGTGAGAGAGCACTTGAGTCAGGGGCCGTATTGCCGTGTTTCGGTTTCTCCATCTTGGACTCCGCCAATGCATGCAGCGAGCTGTGCACATTCGAGAGAACTTTGGAGTGCGGTTGCGAAGAAACCCCATGCAATTGTGAGCCTCGTGTGAGGGAACCTGGCACCAACAACTCCTGATACGAAACACTATCTGCCAAAGGTGCAGACATCCGCATCGGCGCATGCGATTGGGCATTACTTTGCTGCATCATGAGAGCGGTGGCGTACGTGGGCAACGACGCTGAATGAAGCGTCGGGGACTTTGACGGAGTCGATCCCGGTGATGGAAGCGGTGGCGCCATGGACCGCATTGCCGACGTTTCATTCGTCGTCGGGGGAACGATCTTCTCATGAGTCAGCCATTGCAGTAACTTCGCTTTGGGGATAATACAATGCTCGAGCAAGAACGTCACATCCCGCTTATATGCAGGACGAAGCACATCGTAGCGGATCCGCTGAAATTTCCAAGTGCACTCCTTCTCATCAGAAAGGACACAGGTGCAGATACAACCTTCCACCACATCCGAGTGTTTCACCTCAACTGTACAGTCCTCGAACTGTGTGTATTCCTTCTCGTACTTATCATACACCTCCAGCTCAAACGTGCGCGTGATGTGGCCCTCGGAATGGGCACCTCGACCAGCCCCAACCGTACTGCTCGTGCATTGGGATGCTGAAAGTGTGCTCGCCGCCTGATTCAAATCAGCTGGTAGCGGCTGCAATT